TACTTTCTTGCACATCCTTTTCTAAGCATCTTCTTTTAGGGAACCCAATCTAAGGTATCCGCGTTGTAAACATGGATAGAAGACCAGTCATAAAGTTAGGGAATGCCCAGGGAGTGACCTGTGTGTGTTGATGGTGGTAGTGATGGTGGGTGAAGTTAAAAGAAGTGGAATCAAGTATCAAAAAACCAGTTCTGTAAGCACGGAGGCTGAGATTCCAGGGGACGTGGAAGTGAAGGTGTCATCTGGGCAGTTGGTCTGAAGTACAGAAGAGAGGGCTCAGCTGGAGGTGATGACTGGGGGTTTATGGAAAGAACAGGTGGGGGCAGGGTGCCAAGGACAGATCCTTGAGTAAAACTGCCACTCAACAGGGAGGGAAAGAGTTGTTCACTAAGGAGATGGAGAGGGAGTGGCCAGAAATAAAAGGAAAACCAGGACGGGTGGTGGCACCCAAAGATGAGCATCTCCAGGTACATGTTATAGTGACTCATTTAAACTATCAGCTCCACAGGCTTCTCCCAGCACCTCCGTGGACTCTGTAGGTTCCATCCCTACATCTCAATGCTTATCACAGTTCATCCTTTCCTGGAACGTAGTCTTTGTTTTCTGGTTCTGCTACAGAATCAGGAAATACAATGTTACCACACTGTAAATTTGTAGAAAATCCATAATACTTGTGCAGCTTCCTGCCTTTCATTTTCCTCCTCCAATAACTGAAAGAACATGAGAATTACAATAATAAATTTCCTCTGATAAGTTACTTGCTAGTTAATGCACATCAATCAAGAAAACATAACCTTTAATTCTTTTATTTTTTAATATTCATGTTTATTTACTTTTACATTTTTAATTTATCTTGTCTGAAAAATATAGCTCAAAGGTTCAATATCAATAGCAATGAAAAACACAAAGTTCGCTCTCAGTCCTTTCCTGCCCTGGTTTGAAATGTGAGCTTTATCATTTTTGGAATTTTTATACAAGCTTTTGTTTGCTTTCGGTTTCTTCTTTGTCAACCACTTACAAAAAAAAAAAAAAGACAACTTTTTGTGCATTTTCTTTTCCCGATGAAAGGTACGGCGCTTCTGTGAACGTGCAGAGAGAACTCTGCAGCTCCTGTGCTCCATCTGCCTTCGTCAGGTGGGCTGTTTGTAGCTCCTCTGGCTCCTGTAGGACACAGGACTTCTCTAGAGCAGAGCTCCACGTTTGTTTTTAAAATCCCAGATATGTTCAATTTTCTTTTTAAATTTCTCTTGTTTTGTACATTTAGGCTTATTTTTGTGCTGTGGTTGGCGTGGTCTGCGCATTTTCTCCCTTTTAGCGGCTGTGACAACCTTTTTCTTTACTTCATAGCATGCTGTGCAATTGCTTTTGCTAATGTTCTGTGGCCACTGAGGGGCAGAAGTGATTGGTGTGAATATGGGTAGGGTCAAGTAGTGGAAGCATTTTCTTATACACTTGACATTTTAAATCACAGAAAGAGAGCTCAGAGAGACACTTGCAGAAAGGGCACTTGTTTAAATGTGCACTGAACAGGCAGATTCCAGAGTCACACAGCTCAGGTATAAAAACCGGTTCACTCACAAGTAAAAACCCTGGGAAGTTGTTTGACTTCTCTGTTCTATGGTTTCTGCATTTGTAGAAACAAGTAACCCCTTCCTAATAGTGAGACAGAGGAGAAAAGATTGATTTAAACTACATGAAATTGCCAGCATTCATCCCTTTTGGCCTGGAAGAATGGCAGTTTCATATGGATCTGCCTAATCATACAGAATTCTTGACCTTCGTAGCTGCTGTCAGGATAAAAGTTAACCTTGAGAGCCAGGCCTCTTTACTCATAAACAAAGTCCAGCATGCCTTGAAGCCTACAAATGCAGAGCCATCTCCCCCTCTCTTCCTCCACTCTTCCCTGACCCCTCCACTCCTCCCTCTCCCTCCTCCTGCTCCACCCCTCCCCCATGCTTCTTTCCTCCCTCCTCCACTCCCCCTACTTCTCTTGTCCTCCTCACCCACTCCTCCCAAAGGCCTTGACCCCAAAAGGTTTCAGTTAACTCTTTAGAAACTAGGTCCCATCTCTGATCTGTTCCTTGGAGCCTTTTCTGGGCCCCTGGTCCTCAGATTCCTTATCTGCCAGATGGAAACTTCACACCAACTTCCTGGTGTGCTGTGAGGGTGAAATGAGGGGAAGAGTGAAAGGTCTCAAGTCATAATGTGGGCACTTCCCTTACACCCAGGCCTCCGTAGCAACCACACATGGAAGCCAACCCACTGAGCCTTGGAACCAGCAGGGACACAGGACACTTGTCCTGGCCCAGGCAGTGGGCCCAGGGGAGGGTTCTCATTTCCCTACTGATTATCTTATATCATCACTTGTTCTGTGTAGCCTTAAGTAAGCCATTTATGACCTTTGAACCTAAACATCTTCACCCATTAATTGAAGAAATTGGGAAGCCCCTTTCATCTTTATTCAGTGATTTGAATTATTAGTAAATTGTAAAACGCATAAGCATACAAAAGAAATGTTATCGAATGTTCATTACAGCATTATTTTCAGTAATAAAACAAGGAAAACGATTTAAATGATAGATTGTGGGAGATTTATGACAGAATATTGTACATCTCTTAAATCATATTTTATAAGAATGTGTAATAAACATCTTTATCACTTTAAAGCAAAATAAAACAGATCCACAAAATACAATAGGTAATTTTATTTCCAACTCTGTAGATATAGATGTGGATAAAGAAATAGAGGTGTGGCAATAAATAATGAAGAATTACAAGAATACACATAAAAATATTAGATATTATCATTGTCATGTAGTAGAATTGAGTGGTTTAATTATTCCTTACTATTTTATGTATTTCATAAATTTTCTACAGTGAATATACATATATATAACAGCGCATATATATATATATTCCAGCACATGTCATTATGTCATTTAAAATACATAGAAAAAGTGAACACCAATAGCCCATAAGGATTTGTCTTCTTAATTTTCAAACATCACCATTAATTATTTCGTTGCATTATGGCCACACCTTCATCTTTCAGGAGTGGGAAAGGTGATTGGGGGTAAGTGAACACTGTAAAGTTGGAGGAGAAGCTCTCTTTGTCCGTCTCAGCAGCTTACTCAGCCCCATAAAGTAGTAGTTAAAAACAAGACTTGGTCTTTCTGGTGTCTGGACGTGACACATACTGTACTGCTGAAATAACAAAATCCATCTTTTTTTTTCTTCTGGTATTCATAAAATAGAAATTAATTCAGGTAGTCTCACCCTGAAGTTTTGGAGAGAAAATTTAAATGAGTTCTCACATCACTACTGTGTCATTGCATTATGTGAAAATGTACCCCCAGTGCTCCTCCTTTTCCCCATCTGAGCAGTTTCTCTTGGCTGTACTTTTCCTGATGGTCAGGATCATTTTTTCTCACTCTTTCCTTAGTTCCTCTGCTCTCTCCTTCCATCCACTGCCAAAGTCCACCCACCTCCATTTGCCTAAAGTCTTTAGACGCTGAGTGGGTCCTCGCTGGGCAAGCCATCTGCATCACTCTTGACGGAAAATAAACACAGCCAAACAATGGGTATTTGGTTGTTTTCTAGGACTCATTCTTTTTCTACAAAAATAGCCCACCGAGGAGGCTGGTCAGGTGCTTTAAGGACTTTATGGCTGCTCTGGTCCATCCGGGTTCAGGTGTGGACTTCAGTAGTTATTCAGAAACTTGCTGTCGTTGATTTCTCTCAGGTGAAGGGACACTGCCCAGTCCAAATGAAGGCTTCTTAGGCTTTTGAACCTGGGGATGTAGCATCAGGGACTTCTGACCTCAGAGTTAGTTTGGCATTTACCGGCAGTGGCCTAAGACCCTCTGCCTGATCCACCCCTTCAAAACCAAATATTAGACAGGCAATGAATGGTTGCAGGTATTTCTGGACTGCCCTGGTAGTATTGTGCTAAAAAAACCAGGAGACTTCAAACCATAGGATTAATATGCCCTCTGATACTTAACTAGTGGGTGAGTTAATGTGGACATTTAAATGTGTGTGTATCTTTACATTATGCACAATATTACGCATCTACGAAAATGATCGTTTGCTCCAGCCAAAAACCAAGTGGTCCAATTTGAGGCATGACTCACTGGACCTACACCATGATACTCTGTTAAGCCCCCTTCTAATCATGAGACAACTTAGCACCTTTTCAAAGACCTTGGGAATTCACAACTGCGGTTGGATTAACCACACATAATACAAGCAGTTCCCAGTTTTCCACAGGGTTATTGTGCAGTACCTTGAATTGCCATTAGAGGTCATCAGTAGTCAACTCGCTGAGAGGCGGCCCCCACAGTGCCAACATTTGAAAGTCTAGAACATTCCTTAGGAAAATGTGTCTCTCGTTTTAGTGTTCTCACCTATAATATTAGTAGGTCTATCAGTAACTTGAGCTTCCTTGATTTTTACATTTAAGGCTTACTTCTAAGACATTATATTCAGGACTCAACGATCTACTAAGATGCTAGATTTTCATTAAGAGACCCATTGGTGCTGATAAGGGAACCTGTGTCCAAAAAAGCAGCTCCAAGTGGAATCTCTGATAGGGCCTGAGGGGATCCCGGCCATAAAATCCATAATACAACACTGATCAATAACAAGGATGAGTACTATCGTTTTAAATGCCTCATGGAACACCTGTGATGTACACGACTCTACAGCCACTGAAATAATTGTGAAAGGAGGCCACAAATGTATTGACATGAGAAGATACCCATGCTATACTGTTAAGTGAGAAAACTGGTTGAAAGAAAATCCTGTAAACTATGATCTCATTATGTATGTACCTACACATATATCTTTTTACTATAGATTTTTAGAGTCCAGAATCTAACAGTAATTATGTTAGGGAAATGAGGATGTGTTGGGTTTCTAAAGTTGCTCAATGCCTCTGTATGCGTTAGACTTTTTGCAATTGTGTATTTCTTTCATAATTAAAAACATTTCCTTTTTAGATGATGGAGAAAGTGTCACCTTTCTGATGACTTTCCTGGGACCTCCCGGAGGTCTGGGCTCCTTCCCTGTGTCCCTGGATAATAAGCCTTACCTCTGCTACACCTCCACTCATGTGGCATTCTAATTGTTCCATAATTTGGTCTCCCCAAATGAAGTCCAAGGAACTCAAGGTCATGGTCTGAGTCCCACCCGCTACTGTGGCTCCAGCACCCATCATACTTGCCGACAGGTAAATGTTCTAACCTTTATCTGCTGAATGAAGGAATGCCACATGGGATGTGTGAAAGTTAATCCACCCCTTCCAGGTTTGGTGTGTGAGCCAACCATGGAGGTGCCAATGGGGGCAGCTCTTCTTTCCCCTACAAACCCTCTCTGAAGTCTCCCCGTGGAAGATTCATTCACAGAGACGACAGTGTGGGAGTGATTACTCTGGGAGCCTCTCTGTGCATGGGAGGTGCAGAGGTCATGGGGGTGACTGCTGTAGTGGGCAGGCCCAGGTCCAGTGCATGTGGGACATGGCTCGAGTTGGCTTTCATCTCTGGGCTTCACACTTACAAAGGCTGGCTCCCTTATCTCAGCAGTCCTCACCTTTCAGCACGTCCTCCTGATACTTCAGATCTTTATGTGAGCTTAAAACACTGTGTTACCTGCTGGGGGTGCAGTTGGGATCTGCCCATCACTACTCCTGCTTCAGAGGGCAACAACCAACAGACACAAGAATGGCAGTATACCAGTGAGTCCATAATCCTACAACTCCACTAATAGGGGTTTGTGCAAAGAAACCAATCTATACATTGATACAAGTGACACCATTGAGAAAAACATCAGGAATTGCCTAAATGTCTATCAATAGGGCTCTGAATAACTAAATCAGGCTCCGGAATACATTGAAGTATTCCCGGGCAGGATAAAAATGAGGACTGTGAGAATCGTGTGAGAATCACCAGGAAGTTTGATCAAAGCAGACTCTCAGCGTATCTGGGGTGCAAGATGCTGATTGTATAGAATGAAGAGTCTAGGAACCTTCATTTTAAAAATGTGTCTTGGGCAGTTTTACTGTATACGTCATGGGAACCCATCTTTGGGAAACACTAGTGCAGCTGTGAATTAACTGATGTAGAACAGTAGGCATGCCAGAAAAAAAAAATCTACAGTCTGCAAATGCACAGAAAGCAAGTATCTGAACGATTACAGGTCCAAATTTTTATTGCTGGTTGAGTATTAGTGGAGAATCTTTACGACTAATTCATTTATATATACTTTTTGGCTTATCTGTGTTTTGTAATTTTTAACAAGAAGCTAGGATGACTTATGTAAAAATGAAACGATGAAATCTAAAACAAATATCACTGTCTTACTTGTCTGGTGGGCATTTGTAGCAAGCCAGATAGACCTGAGGGAGGTGGAGGCAGGGCAGGGGACCCTCACCTCCTCACTGCTCTCCAGTGGAGAGCTGGAGTCTGGGTGAGGGATGGTCTCTGACTCTACTTCCTGAAAACATAGTGGTCCCCAAGCTGGACATGGGGCTTCTGCTATTATTCACTTTTAGAAGTGACCTTTTTCCTGGGCCACAGAAAAATCAAATCAGTAGATTTTTCTCAATGTTTTTCTGTTTCTGTCCTGTAATTTTAAAAATCATTGAACACTTCCTAAATGGAATCTACATAAGATGGTATCTGATTTAACATGGAATTGTATATTCAGCTATTGTAAGCTTGACCCATCCAGTATTTCCACATGATTCACACACCACAAAGAATGCACAGACCATCCAGATTCTCTCACATTGGAGCCATTCGAGAAGCACCAGTACAACAGAAAGAGCAAAAACCAAAATCAAACATGAATTCCAACCTCAATTTTGTCTGAGTGACATGGGAACACAGGTGCACTTAACCTTTCTGAGTCTGTTTTACCTCCATATACACAAGTGTAATTATGGATAGTCCAAAGGGCCGGGCGCTCGTCAGAATGAAAAGTGCTGGTGCCAAGCTCTCAGCAGCATCTCTGATACTGAGTGCGAACACGGTAACTGCTAGGTCCACTCCTTGTCCTGGAGGTTGGGCCCTGTCCCCTGCAAGGACAGAACCTCTGCTGTGCTGAAGTTCGCCTCAGCGACACACGTGCCTGGCTTTGGTGCTCTGCTCAGCAGCTGTCCACAGTCCAAACTCCCTGCCACACACCCCCAGTCCTCCCGGCCATTCCCAACCTCCTCCTCACCTGCTTATTTTCATTTGCCCCCTCCTGTTTATCTAGTCTGGGTGGCTTCCGCTATTGGACTCTGCTGTCCACACCTCCCTGTCCTCAGCCTCAGAATGTTATTTATTGAACAGGGAGAGAAAAGGAAGTACTTCTATGTTGGTCTCTCTTGGGGCCCCTAAATGCTTGATATAGGGAAGAATTGGGGGAAAACACATCATTTCTGATTTTCCCAGGGAAATGCACCTTGTAGTCTGGGGCAGTGCTGGACACAGGGGACATGTCGATTGACACTAAGGGTGTCTCCAGCACCCCGTGTGGATACAGAAGCACAGGTGCCCCTTCGGTGGATTAAATGCCAGCCGCTGAGAAATACACACACACACACACACACGCACACACACACACACACGAAAGAAAAGACAAAGAGAAAGTGCAGGATGTGATTAAGAGCCATGTTGGTTACCAAGGTGTTTTCTCTTCATAGCAAAGTACGTTTGGTTACCAGAGAAGACAAGAGAGGCAGGAAGTCACAGTCCACGTGCTTGAAGGATCTTAAGGCATTGATGTGACCTCGTCTGCAAAGTTGACAAAGAAGGAGCCACGGGAACCTCAGAGCAGCCAGGATGACTTCAGGAAGGGGCATGGGTGGGAGGCTTAAGAGATGGCACAGGGCATGGGCAGGAGGTGGGGCAGGTCTGTGCACGCCCAGGAGGGGATTTGACCTTGGCTCAGGATGTCATAAGGAGCTCGTGAAGACCATGGCAGTGCCGGAACGAATGGGCACTGGAGAAGCTCTTTGGCCTTGACAATTTGATTTCGAGAGCACCAGTATTACCACAAGAGTTAAAATCCATCTTATGAAAGTGGAGTGTTGTTATTATTTGCAGTTGACACAGAGTAAAGAGTGCTCTCTTAAAATGTCCATCCATTGGTCCGGAAACCAAACCTAATGCCCTATCAAAACCCCCGTGCACCATAACTAATCCTTAGGCTGATCATTCATGGAGCACTGATTATTGTTTCTGCATAATTTGGATGTTAATGTAGAATATTAGTCCTGCTTTACTTTAATAGAAAAGACCACTGCAGTCTTCCCTCTGTCATGTTACTCAATACCCTACTGTTTGCTCTTATTCTTTTCGATGCTCAGTTTTTCTAAGGAGTCAGAGCTTACCTGCACCAGGTAATCCCTCCAAAGCCAGTAAGAAACACGCAGTAAATACACAGCAATCTAAAAAACAAAAACAAAAAACAAACAAACAAACAAAAAAACCAGGGCAACAAGTCAGAGATCAGCTTTCCTTCAGTGATTAAGATCTAGGCAGGGGTTTTATTGTTTTAGATGAGCAGAAAAGTTGGGGGAAACTATCTGTCATCAGATCCCAAACCTCACTGTCACCAGGAGCGAATATTCCCACCCTTTCCTCCTAAGTGTGTCTCTGAGCCCTTCCTTAGGGCCTGGTCAAAAATATGACAAATCAATTCATACCAAGGTGTTGTTCGCTCTATTAAGGATGCCACTACTTGACTGAAAGGGAACAAAGGCAGAGGGAACACTTCCAGGGTGTCAGGACACCAGTGGAAAGTCACTTGGCCACCTGGCCAGCCACCTGTCTTAAGGGCAGCCCATGGCCAGGCCCTCAGAGATCCCCCCTCTTACTAAGGCCCTAAGATGCTTGAATGTGGGAGACATTGCCCATTTCTACCTCAGTAGATGCGTGTCAGACCACCAGACCCTCCCTCCATCTGCCTTTTTAGTGGATAGGTAAAGTATGCTCTTTCCCAAAGCTTCCTTTGTAAAGGGGAGAGCAAGTAGGGGTGTTTCACCCAGGCCAGGGGGCTGCCTGGGGTGCCTAGCCCGCCAGATCCACACCCATTCTCCTGAACAGCATTTCTACCAGTGTCTTCTGAGGCTGCAACTGCAGCTTTCCGTCCACGCATTCTTTTCTGTATCTTAGTAATTCTGATTTGGTTCCAGCCCTGAGTCTTGGCCAGACAGTCAAGCTGGCTTTTTAAGGTCACTGAAGATGCCTGATCTCACTCCGTTGGGGGTTGACTCAACTGGCTAAATATGCAGAGTTCCAAGGTTGAGAAAGGAAACAGTATCTCCAGGGGAATTACTGCAGGACCAGGCCATTCAGGTAGAGGAGCTTTTCAGGATTGCCATGGTAGCTGACCATGAGACTGTGACCCACGTGGCTTTTTTCATATCTCGTCTTCCATGTCCATGTATAATCATTCACTTGGCAGTCAACAACCCACTGCAATCAAAAACACTACTGCTACAACCCCTAAAATGACAGGAAGAAAACCAACTCACTGTGTTCTTACTGAATGCCAGAGACTGTGCTAAGCCTTCACATGGACTGTCTCACTTATTTAGCATCATGTACACACTTGGCCTCATTTAAAAGGTAAAGAGACCGAGGCCCAGAAAGGTTCTATAACTCACCCAGGGTCACACAGCACTCAAGGACTGGCTTTAGGATTTGAACCAGCTTATCTAACTTCAAAGTTTTTGAACTTTGCTCTATGTTCTTTGAAAGGTGGAATCATACAAATCACAACTAGAGCTGAAGATGGGGAAAATGAAGTCTCAGAGAGTTTAGTGACTTGTCGTCCGAAGTCACATGGCGAGATCTGCTAAAGTTAGTTTTCTTCCATACCCTGGCAAGGTGGACTAAATTACATTGAAAATGCCCCTGGCTCTGCAGCCCCCATCCCCACCCCACTGCCAGAGGCCAGAAGGAGGTGCAGTCGTCACCCAGCTGCGGTCCCACATTGCTTTCTATGAAGGCAGAAACTAGGACTTGTCCCCTGCAAAAGGCTAAGAGCCAGAGTGGGAAATTTAGTGTGGAACTTCTCTGCCTTTTCATTTATTTTATGAATTTGTTAACCATTCTCTTGAGAAACTGCACTGTTTTTAAACTGCACGTTTTCTTTAGCTTTGGAGACCAAGTCACATAATGATGCTGACCTAGTCAGCACAGACCACATGGAATAGCAGAGCCTTTGAATGCATTTGTGTGTAATGATTACTATAAACACAGCTTTCTTTATGTATTATTAAAATTATCAGTAATGGCAGGCTAATACTGATTTCCTGTCAAATCTTTTCATAATGGTATTTAAGTAAAAATATTATAATTGGGTTGTTCTTTACTGTCCTTAGAATGAAGAGGAGTAACGTTTAACCATCATGTAACTTTTCAAAATAGAAGTCTACTTTTCAAATATTATTTGTTTCTTAGTTTTTCCACTGGAAAGAGCATTAAATAAACTGTATTCCAAAAAATGGAATTAAGTTAAATAAGCATATCTTCAATTGGTGCCACTAAATGATCCTTAAATCAAATCTTGAATTGACCCTTTCTTGAAGACAGGGAAAAACATATTTGTGGCTTGCCTGTGAACTCTCCCAGGCTTCTTTCTGCCAAGCAGGCTGGGGGATTCCCACAGTGCCCTAGCATATGGAGGGTTTGCTGGGCTGTTTGTCAGCAGCTATTGTTCTCTTTCAATACCTGTTTCTAAAAAAGCGAGAACACTGTCTGGTTCCACAGAAGTTACCAAAAGTAACAGAATACACTGTAGGTTGTCTAAGCTTCCTCAGGCATTGCAAGCCTTTGATCTTTCTGGATTTTCTCCTCTTCTCTTCGCCAAGGAACCAGTCCAAACCCTTAATCTTTCTAACTCAAGAGAAAGTCATAGAGGCAGCGTCAAAATTGGACGTCTAAATTGAGACTGAGAGCAGGAAGACATCTAGGGTTTTAAGAGTGGTGAGGACTTATAGTTCACTCTCTTGTTGGCCCCTGGGACCAGAGGATGACAGGACCTTTGGAAGCCAGAGCATGATTGTGGGAGCACCTCAGAAGGTTGGACTTGGGCCCTAGGGTTCAAGCTGGCCAAGCTCTCAGCATGGCAGGACCTCCAGACTTCAAGAGGTGCACTGGTGGTAGGAATCACAAAGGTGACCACCGTAATCTGAAGACAGAGGGGACCTACAAATATTTTGCTGAGGATGATATTTCTGCAATCTTTGTACAGACCTGAGGAGTGCAAAGAGAGCCCAGCAATGGCTTTCACTGGGTTTCTTGCCGACCAATCTCAGGCATCCCAAAGTCACATTTAATTTAGCTGAAAAAAAGAAAATTAAGTTCCAGGACTTGATTTTCATTCCCAAGTTTCTGGACAAAGATTCATGCTCACCCCACACGGATGTGTGATCATTTTTGGATCATTTCAGGTCTTGGTAGGAAATTGACTTTTACTCCAAAAGTTTTAAACAAAGAGAATTTAATGATGTGACTCTTTACTAAAGTGTGTGCACAGCTGAGAAAATCAAGAAGAAAGGTTGAAGCATGCAGAGACAAGCAACATGGAGAAGCTGTTACTTACCCAATATTTTCTTGCTGGCTGCAGCCCGAGGCCACTCTCGGCCACTGGAGGCCACCTCAGTGGCTTTCTCTCTGACGTGGCCATCTCTTTAAGGCTAACAGAAGAGTCCCTCTCTTTTTGCAGTGTGCCAAGGTGGAGTGTTGTGTAATGTAACCTGACCACAGGAGTAACATCCCATCACATTTACAGGTCTCACTCACATTGGGGAGCAGAGAGGGTCATACAGGGTGCACCTTGGAATTCTACCTACATGGCCCCCAAGAAGTCTGGAGCTTATATCAGCGACTTCAGGATGAGAGAAGAAAATGACTCTTCCTCTCAAATTAGGAAATCTCAGTGAAGGATTCTGATTGGCTCAGATACAGCTGCAGTCCCCTGATCTGTGGCCATGAGGGCAGAACTGTTGTAAGAAGAAATAGGGTAAAACCAATTGTCTTTACACTGGGGAACACCGAATCACCCAGATTCTTTAGAACTTTTAGAGCTAAACTCAACATGATGAAACAAAACACATCAACTGCCTATGGAAGGAGGGAAAGGAAGCAGCAGTGGGCAGAGGGAGAATGGAATCTGGGAGGCTTGCACAGGATCAGTCTTGGCCAATAAAGCCATCAGTGATGGGCTACCATGGTCCTTCTTAGTTGACTCAAGTTGGGCCGAGATGGCCAGTCCTTGATACTCCCAGAGTGACCAGTCATTACACATGGGCTGCTGGAAAAGGATATGGTTTGGGGTGAGGTGTTTCTCTGAGCCCTTCCCCTACCCTGAAACTCCTGAGATCTGAAGGGTGTCTGCCTCCAGCCCTCTTAGCAGGTAGGACCACAAGACTTTCCTTAATGGGGGATATGGGTGGTGCATTGTGGTCCCCACCACAGACCCTCAGGTTTATCCCTCCGTGAATTTGCAGAGAGACCACCCTATGCAGAACCTTAACATCTGTTCTCCACTCTCTTGTCTCCTGGGCTCCCACCCTCCCCAACAAATGCTAAATCTCTCCTGTTAATATGTGAAACCACAGTTCAAAAACTCTATGGCCCCCAATTTCCCAGGGTTCAAGTTCCTAAACTTTAGCTAAGCTGGGAGACCCTTTACAATCAGACCCCCAACAAATATTTCCAGGATTTTCTTCAATTTTATGTATCAACTGACTTCTTCACAATACCAAGTTTCTGTTCTCTAAGCCCTCTTTTCCTCATCTTCTCTGCTTTTTGACATTTTCCTTTTTCATCTCATCCTCCTTCACCATATACTACTATGAAAATCCTACTCATCTTTCAGGGTCCTGCCATAAAATCTTTCCTCCATTGAATCATTATGGGCCAGAGTAATCTCATCCTCCCCAGAAACATGAAATCCTTATCTTGGGCAACATTAATTCTGTGTTCCCGACTTAATGCCATGGATCCTAGGCTATCAGTTTCGGGGTATATTCTTAGTATGGGTCTTCCTGAAAGCAGGCCTGAGACAAGAA